CCCCATGCCAGTCCATCTCATCTCACCAATGCCTAGTATGTCAATATTTATGCGTTCCATTTCCTCCTTAACAATATCCAATTTTCCTACATTCGTGGTTCTCACATTCCATGTTCCAATCACCAGTGTCTGCTTACAACTGTTCCTCTTCCTTTGTATTTCCATGCTTGAAATCTCAACCTCTTTTGCCATCTCTGTTATCTAAAATGACTTTTTTTATAGAGAAGAAAAATATGTAGGTTTTTTTTTTTTTTTTTTTTTAAACAATAAGATTTATTGAGCTGTATCTTAGTACAGAAGAAAAATATGTAGTTTTAAAGCTCTGAAATTTAGAAAATATGAAACTCTGAAAAATAATACGTGTGAACATTGTTATGCTCTACTGCCATCCTTGGTTGACAGGCTATAGATAAATTCAAGTTAACTGTAATAGGTCAAGGCCACAATGAAATTGCAATTAGGAGTACTTAGAAAGTTGGGCTGCTGAGGCTAAAAATTTCTATAGTTTGGTATGTAACATCTAGCTCCAGTAGAGTAAGATAATGGACTGTATTTCAGTAAGTAATTAATGTTGGCACAGCATAGCAAAGGAGGACCAACATGCTTGTCATTACAGGTGAGCAAACCAGATAACAGCAAATCCATTAACAGGAAGTAATCATCACCTTAGAGGAGTATGCAATCAATATGAGAAGGCTTGTTCTCAGGAAGCAGGAGCCCCAGATAACAGAACTGACTGAATTTCAGAAGCAAAGCTCCCACCTCTATCAAGTCTGTTAAAGGAAGTCTTGAAAAAGAAAGATAGGCTGCCAACTCTTATAGGAACTGGGTCTCATGCAATATACCTGGAAATTAGGGCAGAGGAAACAAGGGAAAATGTTCAGTGCCCATAAATGGTACACAGGGTAGTACCAAGTCTGGAGAATAAGATTATAACCTAGTTTTCAAAACTTGTGTCAAGCATAGCATTCCTGCTGTATATGGTCAATGCCAGATACAAGTGTTATATTATAGGGTCAAATGACTACTACTAGGGAAAGGGAAAATTTAGAGATTATTTCTTAAAATTTATTTTTAAATTTTGGGGTACATCAGAGAACATATTATGGGTACTTCAGAATATGAGTGCTTTGGTTGCCCAGTGGTAAGAAGCTGCGCTGCAATCCCAAAGGCACTCAGTTCTAATTTACCAGATACTCTGCCTAAGAAGGATTGGCAACTGCCTCCTGTGCAATTAACTACTTCTGAAAATCCCCTGAAGTGTCAGCTATTAATTAATCCTGACTCAGCTGGACACAACATCACTGGAGCAGATTGTTGTTGTTATGTGTACCATCAAGTCGAGGGTGACTCATAGCCACCCTATGTATAACAGCCTCTATCTTGAGCCAATTTCATTGTCTCTGAAACATGAATCCCACAACCCCAGTCACTACATCAATCCATCTCACCCAGGCTATTCCTCTCTTGCACTGTCCCTCCATCCTTCCAAGCATGATGTCCTTCTCCAAACACTGGTCCCTCCTAGGAACATGCCCAACGTATGTCAAATGGAGCTTCAAAATCCTTGCATCCAAGGAACAGCCTGGTTTCACCCTCTCTAAATGATGTAATTTACCTGAAGGGCAAGTCTGATAGGTCTTAAAATCTGAGGACCATTGATATGCAACTGATACCAGTACCACTGCCACTCACTCGTTCAACTTTGGTCTTTCTTTAATAAAATTTGAATCAGGAATAAAATGTCCTTTAAGGGAGCGTTTTGGCAGCATCATGATATGTGGAGAAGATACTGAGATTGTTAAGAAATTTAGCTTACTTGTGTCCACAATCAACACTCTTGGAACCAGCAGCCAGGAAATCAAAAGATCAGTTGGATTAGGAAAGTCTGCTATCAGGGACTTCTTCAGAGTGTTAGAGTGCAAAGATGTCAATCCAAAGACTAAGGTGTGTCTGATCAAGGCCATAGTCTTAGCAATTACTTGTTATGGCTCAGATAGCTGGACAATGACCAAGGATGACAGAAAAATGGATGCTTTTGAGTTCTGGTGCAGGAAAAGTGTATTGAATATACCATGGACCACCAAGAGAATAAATAGGTCTGTCCTGGAAAGGGTAAAACCAAGGTGCTTTCTGAGACAAGGGTTTAGAAGCTCCATCAGACATACTTTGGCCATACTTCCAGGAGGAACCAGTACTTGGAGAAGGACATGTTTGGAAATGTGGAGGAATAATGCAGGATAAGAAGACTTTGGATGAGATGAATGGAGTAATAAAGGCAGGTGTGTTGGAGACATTGAGATTAGCTTAAGATAGAACAGGTTTCAGAGCTATTGTACATAGAGTCAGTATGAGTTGCAGGTGACTTGATGACACATTACAACAACAACAACAATAGAAAGTTGACCTGCTAAGTCAAAGGCTAAGTCTCTCAGCTGGTTTGAATTCAGCAGTGACTCTGTGGGAGAAAGAATAATCTCCTCTCATTTGCTTTACAGCCTTTGAAAACCTGCTGTGTGTCAGCCAAGTCCCAGTCAGTTCCTTTTCAAGGGTGAGGAGTTGAGTTCAAGGGAGCTTTTGTGTTGTAGTTCTTTGATGTTCAACTGCTAACTCAAAAGCAGAATTTATCCTGTGAGTCAAATCCAGGAGTGGCTCTGAGGGAGAAATATGGGTAATCTAACACTTTTTCCCCCTTTGGAAATCCACTGGTTAAGTCAGCTGAGCCAGTTCTTACTTGAAAGCAAGGACAGTGAGTGAGTGAGAAGAATCTCCTACAACTTTTAGTCTTTTCTTAGTATGAATGCTGACCCAGTAGTACTTTATCTTCAGTTATGTAGGTATTTTTATTATATAGTAAGGGGAGCTCTTGTGGCAGAGGTAAGGAGCTGCTCTGCTAATCCAAAGAAAGATAGAAGGTTCAAGTGCATCTTCTTCCCTTCAATTTCCAGCTCTGCAAAGGAGGAAGTTCTTCCCAGCCAGCACACAATAGTCTGTAATCATGTTTAAGGGGGAAAGAAAAATGATAAAACCACGTTCTAAAGCCAAAACAAAGAGAAAACACACACTTACAGTGGCCTGATGTTTTTCGGCTTTCTCAGATGTTTCTTTAAGTTGATTTTGAAGGGCCTCCTGGAAAGACTTCATTTCTTCTCTAGTTGAATAGAAAATAGAGAACAGAACATACAAAATTCTGTTATTTCCTCTGTACATTAGGAAAGGAGGTTTTGGATTTTCCCTGCATTTGGAAAACAGATAACTAGAATTGCACAGACCCACAGTTAAACTTACGGGTCTTTTTGCCTACACAAATCCTAAAATAAAATTGGATTTCAAGATAATAATCTTGCTAGAGGGTCTGATAAGAATACAACTGTGTGAATCATTGTGATATCACTACTATGTTTAATCAATATAATAATTTGAATTCAAAAGTTCATTTCATAGCCAGTATGTTAGATTGTAAACATGCCAGTGCAAAAAAAAAAAATTCACTCAACTCTTTTTTTTATTAGATAAAATTTACTGCTTCTTTTTTAATACTCCTAGTTGATTCTTTTTAAAGCACTCTGTTTAAGACAACCTTTAGGAAGTATGAGAGTTGATGTTAAAAACAGTGACAATATACGTACTTCTAACTTGAGATCTGCTGGCAAAATACATACATATTTTAATAAATATAAATACATTATATCTAGGGCTCAATAATAAATAAGGATTATGATTTGCTTGTAAAAAAATCATAACATCCTTTTTTTGTTGTTTTCAGAATTCAGAATTTGCATCATTGTGACCAATCATTACATAAACCCAAAGCCTTAGACTTGATTGCAGGTCGTAAGGCCACTTTAGCCCTTACAAATGATCAGAAATAAGGTGTATGTGTGTATATGTGTGTGATTTTGAGCTGGAAGGTGGTTGTTGCATACTATCAAGTCGATTTCAACTCATAGCTCTCCCATGAACAACAGAAATGAACACTGCCTAATCCTGTGCTACCCTCGCCATCTCTGATATACTCAAAACACACTGTTAGAGTTAATTGTGTCCATTTGCCCTTTTGAAGGGCTTCTTCTCTCAATCTGACCTTTCACCTTTCCTAACATGATGCCGTTGTCTAGGGTCTCAACTCTCCTGAAAAAAGAGTTTGTTCCCTGATAAGATTTGCATCACTTGTATAGAATTTAGAGCTAGGCATTTGGGGCTACTTGGAAAATATTAAATTAGTCTTGCTGCTAATAAGATTAGGACAGGTTTCTGGGCTATTATTGCTGCTCTTTCTTTAGGGGAATCTGTAACCAGAGTGATACTCAGGGACAAGGAGTGTGAAACTTCTCAAATATTTAGGGATGTTGTCAGGGGAAGTGAAAGAAATAAAAAGATGAATCACAATAAGAAACTATGTTGTCAGAGACCAATCCCGTGTACCAAAGAACACCAGAGTCAGTTTAAAAACTAAGGTACACATGATCCACGCCATGGCCTTTTTTACTGTGTCTCATGCATCTGAAATTTGGGTAACAACTAAGGATGACAGAAGAATCTGTGCCTTTGTGTTGTGGTTTTGGAGAAAAGAAAGGAATATCCCTTGGATTTCTAAAAGAACAAACAGAGCTGTCTTGGAGAAAGTGAAAACAGGATGTTCCTTGGAAGCAAGGATGGTGAAACTTCATCTCACATATTTTGGGCGTATTGTTAGGAAGGGTCAGTCCTTGGAGAAGGGTGTCATTTTTCGAAAGGTGAAAGATCATTGTAAGAGAGGAAGACCATCTGCAAGGTGGACAAGGTGACTGTAACAAAGAGCTTAAACATGAACAAGATGTTGATTGAGGGTGGCACAGGACAGAAAAGGGTTCAGATTTGTTGTTCATAGGGTCCCTATGAGTTTGGTTGACTTGACGATACATAACAACAGTAACACAATTAGAGGAAAAAGAGTCTATTAGAGAAAAGAGGGGGCTCTGGTGGACTAGTCGGTAGAGTTGAGTTGCCAACAAAAGGACAGGTGCCTGCTTTTTAAAAGAAAGATTAGTAACATCTCATTTGATTCACAGTCTCTAAACACCCCATAGAAGGTCAGTCATAAACTGGCTCTGATTCTACAGCAATGCAGAAAGAGTAAAAGAAAATAAAACCAAAGATGTAAGAGGAGTAAAGAATGAGATAAGGAAGGCATACACTGAATTGAAACACAATCAATATATGATATTTTTTATCTGAAAAAGTGCTAAATAATTCATAATTTTCAAATTGTTATTTAGATTTCAAAATACCCTTTTAAAACAAGAAAAAAACCCTAAAATCTTTTACAAAGAATTAGAGAAATAGAACATTCTGTGTATTTCCATGGCAAGAATTTTAGCTGTTGGTGGATCCTTCGTCTTTTTAATCTCTCCATATCCATTTTTTTGGATTATAGTCACCCATTACTATTAATGCACCTTGATTGCATGTTGACTGCAACAGTTGGTAGAAGTCTTCTATTTCCTCCTCTTTGGCTCTAGCTGTTGGTGCATATATTTGAATGATAATGGTATTCACTGGACTTCTTAGTATTTGTGTGGATATTCTCCTGTTACTTGTATAATTCAGAATGGATCTAGAAATGACTTTTTTTTTTAGAAATGACTTTTAAACTATGAAACAAACCCCATTTTTTCTGACCTTTTCTTCTCCAACATAGTATATCATATGATTGTCTAATTCAAAATGCTCCATGCCAATATATCTCATTTCACCAATACCTAGTATGTCAATATTTATGTGTTCCATTTATTTCTAAACAATGTCCAATTTTCCTACAGTCAGGTTTCCCACATTCCATGTTTCAATCACTAGTATCTGCTTACGACTGGTCCTACTTTGTATTTCCATGTTTGAGGGCTCAGCCTCAGTCGCTTATCTGCTAGTCTAAGTGTGTTCTGTTGCCATCTATTGTCATCAACAGCATACATCATGCAGACAACACAACTTTGTTTGCTGAAACTGAGGACTTGAAGCACTTGCTGAAGAAGGTCAAGGACGCAGCCTTCGATATTAATTGAAACTCAACATCAATAAAACAAAGAATCTCACCACTAGTCCAACTGGTAGCACTATGATAAACAGTAAAGAGATTGAAATTGTTAACAGCTTTAGTTTTCTTGGCTCCACAATCAACACTCTTGGTACCAGCAGCCAGAAAATCAAAAGATGAATTGTACTGAACAAATCTAATGTCAGGGATCTTTCCAGAGTACCGAATAGCAACCATGTCAGTCTGGATACTAAGGTGTACCTGATCCAGGCCATGGTCTTCCCAGTTACATGCTATGCATCAGAAACCTGGACAATGACTAGGGATAATAGAAGGAGAATTGATGCCTTTGAGCTGTGGTGCTGGAGGAGTATTGAATATATCACAGACTGCTAAGAGAGCAAACAGATTTGTCCTGGAGAGCGTGAAACCAGGTAACTCCTTGGAGGCAAGGATTCTGAAACTCTATCTGACATACTCTGGGTGTGTTGCAAGGAGGGAGCAGTCCTTGGAGAGGGACATTATGCTTGGGAGGGTGGAGAAACAGTGCAAGAGAGGAAGATCCTTTGTAAGATGGATTGTCTCAGTGACTGAGATAATGGCAGTAGGTAAGCCAGAGACAATAAGGTTGTTACAGGATAGAGCTGGGTTCAGAACTGTTGTACATAGGTAGGTCGCTTTGAGTCACAAGTGACTTGATGGCTCATAACAACAACATCTCCATTTAGCAAGCAGTGTTTTGTTATGTGCGTAATGCAGGTTGTTGATGAGTCTCCTCTGATCCTGATGACACTTTTTTCTTCATAAAGTCTGGCTTCATGAATCATTTGCTCAGCAAACAGGCTGAACAAGAATAGAGAAAGGATACAATCCTGCCTTACATCCTTCCTGATTTTAAACCATACAGTGTTCCCTTGCTCCATTCTGAAAACAGTTTCTTGATCTAGCTATAGATTTCTCCTGAGCCCAGTTAAGTGTTCCGGGATTCTCATTCTTCTCAATGTGAGCCATAATTTGATGTTATTTACACTCTTATTTTGTTGTTGTAAACCATGAGTAGGGACTGACCCATAGTGTCAATGAGTTTTCAGAAGCAATCAATCACACATCTTTCTCCTGTAGAGCATATCCATGCCTTGGGGATTGCAGCACAGCTTCTTACCTCTAGTTCATTATAGCTCCTATTTTGGGTAATTCTAAATCCATGTCTCACACATTTGGCTACTTTTCTTCTTAAAGGACTTATTTTTTACTTGATTTGCGATCTTTTCCTCCACCAAATTAAATTTTCATATTCTATGTCTAGCTAGTCATAGGCTCTATTTGATAAGGATCTGAAGCTTAAATTCAAAAGAATTGGTAATTCTTGTGGCATCTGTGATAGATGCTCAAATACCAAGTACATTTTAGCATAGATTATAACAGTAAGATGGATCTTAAATGAGAGATGCTTTACAATTCTTCTATCCTAAATTGGGGAGGCTCTAAAGTGTTTCCTGCAGAAAGTCAAGGACTGTAATTTTCAATATGGGTAGAAGCTCAATATTAAGGAGACAAAAAGTTTCACCACTAGGTCAATTGGCAGAACCATGATAGATGGAGAAGAGATTGAAGTTATTAATAATTTCAGCTTTCTTGGCTCCACAATCATCTCTCCTGACTCCAGCAGTCAGGAAATCAAAAGACAAATTACATTGGGGATGTCTGCTGCAAGGATCTCTCCAATATGCTAAAGACATCAGTCTAGTTACTAAGGTGCACCTGCCTCAGGCCGTGGTCTTCGCAGTTATTTGTTAAGCATCAGAGAGCTGGACAATGACTAAAATTGACAGAAAAATAATTTATTCCTTTGTGTTGTGGTGCTGGAGAAGAATATTTAACATACTATGGACTACCAAGAGAACAAACAGGTCTTTCTCCTAGGAGGAATTTGAAGCTCTGTCTCACAGACTTTGGACACATGGCCAGGAGGGACCAGTTCGTGGAGAAAAAAGACATCTTGTTTGGAAGGGTGGAGGGACAGTGCAGGATAGGAAAACCTGAGATGAGATGGATTGACATGGTAACTGGGGCAATGGAGGTAGGAGTGTCAGAGTCAGTGATACTGGTTCAGGATAGAGCAGGTTTCAGAGCTATGG